CCAAGTATCCCATGAACATACCCACCATAAACATAATAAAGTATACAGCGATTGTGGAGGCTGGACAAGTACAGATCAAAGCCCACAAGCATTAAGAGGAGAGACTAAGGCACTTGAAACCATTTTCGGTGCAGGCTGTCCACAAAGTCTGTGACTGCACCAGGCAAGTGTCTGGTTAAATGAACCGAATTTAGTGCCCGTTTGACTCATATGTGAAAGCTCGGCTCTCCGGCTCCTTTCCAGAAGACTTGCGTCTTACGTCTGTTTAGCCTCCTTGTATCCTTGCCCCGACTGCTCGCAGGGAAGGTGCTTAAGGTCTCCTCCAGAAGCAGACAGGGTATAAATCTTCAATCTTGTAACTGTAATGAACAGCTCAGCCACAGGCTCCCCTCTGACCTCAGGCGGTTTCCTCCATTACAGCCAGACAGTCCCCGGGGCAACTCGCCTGGCCTTGCCTACCAGTGCCCCTCTACAGCAGCATCAAATGGCATTTCCAGACCCCAGAGCCTCCTCTGCTCACAGAGCTGACAAACCAGCCATCAGAGAAGGAAGCCCTGCTCCCAAAGCCCTTGGCGCCGCGGGTGGGGGAACTGCTGTTACAGCACAGAAATAAGGACCTGTCAGGAGAAAGAACAGCACTGGGAAACTGATCCTGTGCTCCTGGGCGTCTGGCCTCCCAGGAAGGTGACTCTGGGCCTTCCAGGGCCCCCACCAGTCGTGGGTGCCTCTGGGCTGTCCCATGTCCCACAAGCAGGTCTCAAAATGGCCCAGCAACAGACCTCATTGATTGGAAATGAAGCCCTTTAAATCTGAACGTTTTGGCAAAGGGAATTGTGGGTGTTTGTGCTTCTCCCTCCCCACTCTTTCTAGTGTGTGGCACCTAGACCGATTAAATACAAAATCGTTTTCTGTCATTTAGGCAAATCATATTCCCACGGCTTCAAAATGCACGTTATAAATAAAATAAAATATAAACTCATTCAGATCTTACTGAAACTTCTGCTCTCAGAGAACAGTGCTAGAAAAGCCATCATCTGTGTCCCCTTCTGCTTACCTGCAAGGCCTGAAGGGTTACTATGGGAACTTGCTGTGGCAGGGGCCTGTCTCTACATAAGCATAAACCTCATAGCACCCTTCAGGAGAAGTCCCTGAAAACCACTTATTTATTTCCAGAAATGAAGCTGTCATCTGCTTATCTAAGAATCATCAAACCTTGTAAATCATTTAACCCGAACTTAACATACAAAATAACCAAGGTCCAGAGATGTTAAGTATTTTATTCACGGTCACTCGGCAGTATACCAATTTCAGGATAAGAAACCCCAGTTTCGGAAAACTCTTGCCTAAATCTTTCATGGTTCTAAATAGAAGACTATTGATATAAATGAGTACACCTATGCCAAAAATACCCATAATGGATAGTCCTTTTTAAAAATGTGAAATCAAATTCCATGTAACACCTTAGCTTCCCACCCATGCCTGTTAGACAATTGGCATATAGAAAACTGAGTCCCAAACCCATACCACAACCGCCGCAAACGTTCTCCCCAACTTCAAGGCTGAAGACTCAAGCCTAGCCATCTCTGCTCCGCCTCCTGCTTTGGCTGTTGTCCGCTGCCAGCATGAATCGATGCAGATTCAAAGCAATGTCACCAAATCCACTGCCTTGCCCATAAAGTACAGCATGGAAAAATAAAAAAACCTTGCTGCATCATAAGCAGCCATATAGGGATGGAATCAGTATCTCTCTTTAGTTGTACAGATTCCATAACCAAATTTTTCACATCAAAATTTGTGACACATGGGCTGACAGCAGGACAGAATATTAAAAATCAGGACCTCCCTGAGAAATCTGGCCATACGGGTTGCCATGCCGACACTCCATAATGCCAAACAAGCGCCTCCAAGGTCCAGAAGCAACTTGGCTGGCTTCGAATAGCCCAGAACATTGTGAAAGCAGAGCTGCCTCCTGGTCCAGGCTCGTCTGTAGACCCTCCCTTTCCCAGCTCAGCTCTCTCATTCCCCAGGGGAGCGATAATGACGCTTGTCTGAATTTGCTCAGCCTCTGACAGCATGGCTGGCCACATCATTCTCTAAGAATCTGAAAATCCACATGCAGCATCCTGGCCTGACTAAATAGAGAAATGTTTCAGAACAGCAAAGACAGTGAGTGGTTACCACAAAGTTCAGGGAGAAAGCAAACCCTTGGTTGCACCTGCCCCTTTTAAGTTAACAAAGGGTTCAACTCCTGGAAAAGCTTGAATATGCATTCCCCTACCTCCATACTGATAGGCAGGTTGAAGCTGGGAATAAGGGGATATGAAGCTTGGACCATTCATCGACTGCTCCCAGAAATGGGCAAAAATCCTATTTCACTCCTTTAAGAAGTCTTACTGTGCATCAACGTGGGGATGTGCAGCATAGTCCCTGCATGCATAGCTCACATTCAGCTGAGAATCACACGGAAGTGAAACAACTCAAAAATAGGACTACAATGCAAGGCAGTGAGTGTTAAAGGTGATGTGTGATTGGGGGCCAATGCTGGAGGAGCAGGCATCCGGAACTAACACTTAGGAACTGAGAGGGAGCGGCTGTGCCCCTAAGTGGCTCCCCAGGACTTCCATCCTCCCTTTCTTCCTGCACCTTTGCTTCCCAGCTCCCAGGCATTTCCCAGATACTCCTTCCTACTTTAAACTTGGTTTCCAGTTCTCAGCCCTGTTGTCATCTGCAGCAAGTCAAACCCTGTGGGAACAGGGAGGGCCAAGAGGATGTTCACTGGTACTCCCCACCACCTCCTATTGCTACCCCTCCAGCATGGGCAAGGTCAGGGGCTGGTCTTTTTTTTTTTTTTTTTTAAGACAGAGTCTCACTCTGTTGCCTGAACTAGAGTGCCATGGCGTCAGCCTAGCTCACAGCAACTTCACACTCCTGGGCTCAAGCAATCCTACTGCCTCAGCCTCCAGAGTAGCTGGGACCACAGGCATGTGCTACCATGCCCAGCTAAATTTTTTCTATATATTTTTAGTTGTCCAGCTAATTGTTTTTCTTTTTTTTTTTTTTTAGTAGAGATGGGGTCTCGCTCTTGCTCAGGCTGGTCTCAAACTCCTGAGTTCAAAAGATTCCTCAGCCTCCCAGAGTACTAGGATTACAGGCGTGAGCCACCGCTTCCAGGCCAGGGTTCAAGGTTCTGAAACAGAGGCTGTGAGCAACAGTTTCCCTGTGCTTTCTTCTTTCCTTTTCTCCTGCCTCCTCCTCCCCTTCCAGCTCACACCCTCCTCCCATCACCTCACCAGAGAGAGGGACAGAGCATCTAGCCAGCCTGCCTTCCCCTTAGAGCTCTAGGCCCACCTCTCCTGAGACCTGGGCTGGTCCTCTGGAAAAGTAAGACTAGGGCAGCTTGTGTTCCTGGAGCGGAAGCTCCCCGGGTCCTGGGAGTCACTACTGATTTGCTAGTGCCAGCTCTAACCTGTCAGTCCACCCTGATCTCAACACCCTGGGGTCTCAGCACAGGAGGCTTTTCCTCACCAGTCTTTCTGTCCACCCATCCACAAGTGCTCTGGAAACAGTGTCCTAGGAACAGGTCCCACAGCTCAGAAGGGAACACGCCACCTAATCAAGCTTGCCCCCAGAGAGTTCATCCAGGCGGGGATCTAGGACAAAACTCACAACCCAACCCCTCCCCGACCAGGACCAGGTCTCCTCAGGTAAAGCCTGTTAATAATGGTCCCTTTGCAGGGGACGTGGAATCTGGGGCAGGATGGGAATGAGAAGGCATTCCCCAGTGAACCCATATTCCTGAGGTTCAGAGCTGCCTCTGCGCTCGTATCTCGGATTCTACTACAGACAAACCTCAGCCCTCGTGACCCTGCACCTCCCGCGACGCTCCTCACCTCTCCTCCTCCTGGCCCAGATCTTTCCACGTCGGAATTGCCACCCTCCCCCACTTCCTTACCCCCGCCCCACTCTTTGCTCTCCTGCTCCTGGTCCTTGTCTGGCCAGGCCGCCCCTACGCAGCAGTCCCTCCCGAGGGGCGCCCAAGGTTCTTGTCCACCACCCGCTCCGTTGGAAGAACGCGCCTGACCGCGAGCGCTCTCAGCGGGTCCCAGAGCCTCCCACCTCAACAGGTGCCGGCCTCTGCCTGGCCACACAGCGCTGTCACCCCGGGCCCAGGCGAAGTCGGCGACAGGACCGCCCCCTGCAGGGCGTCTGGGGCTCTGCACGCCCTCGCCCGGGTCCCCAAAGCGCCAAGGGCCCCAGCAGCTCCGCTAAGGCCCCCACCATACCACACCGCCTTTGTTTCCCCACTCGCTTAGATGTCGTGGGGCTGACCTCATGCGAGGGAATCGCCAAGCTCGAGCGCGGACACAGCCCATCTACGGTAGTGGTGGACCCTAATGTTGGGGGTAGGGGTGCGTACGCAGAGAACTCTGGGGGGCGGGGGTGTCCGTGCAGAAGAAGCTGGTTCAAGTTGACCTGAGCTCAAAAGGGGACTCGAAGCCAGGCACCGCGCCAACAGAGCCTTATCCTACCCACGCCCCCACCCGACGTCCTTTGCCCCCAGGAGGCTGGAGAGGGGGTGCGCACCGCCACCTACGCGCTCAGCTGCTAGTGGCTCCCACCGTTGGCTAGCTGCGCGCTTGGTCCAGCCGCCTTCCGGGGCGGGCAAGGCGCCAGCAGTCCCCCGGCCCCCGGCCCCGGCGGCGCAGCGCCTGGAGAGCCGCCACGTTCTCAGTCGCGCGCGAACGCCGGGCCCACCAAACTTGCAGCACTTTCTCCCAGCCCCCACCCGCTGTCACCCTCCCATCATCGGGCGCCCTGGCCCCACTAGCCCTGCAAAGGTTGCCATAACAACGGGCAGGAATGCTCCAACATATACAAAGCCGGCCCGGCGCAGCGGGCACTCAGCCCCTAGCCGGGCCCCGCGCCCTCGGCTGCTGCGCGGAGGCAGGACGCGCGCCGCTGCTCCCCCGCCGGCCGCCCGGCGCGCGGGGCGTACTCACAATGAGCGGGATGGTGCGGTCCTCGCGGAGCTGCTCCGGCCTCCCGCCGGCCCTCTGCGCGCCCCGGCCGCCGGAGGATGCTGCGTGGGCTCGGTTGTCCTGCCATAAGTAGTAGAAAGTGCCCAGGATCCAGGCTACGGTCAGGATGGCGATGGCATTGGCGCGGATCTTCCTCATGGTGGGCGGACGGGCGCCCTGGGTGGGGGTCGGGACCAGCGAGCTCTTGGGGCCGGAGCGGGGGCGCTCGCAGCCCCAGCTGTTTGTTTTCGCTCCTGCCTGGCTGCTCAGTCCTGCAGAGCAGAAAAAGGAGAGAGGTGGGGGGGGGAGAGTGATAGGGAGAGACAGGAGCGCGGAGCGATCCTCACGGTCCTAATGCCCTTCAGCCCCGAGCGCGCGCGTCCCCCGGACGCCCATTCATTCGCGCGCAGAGCCGGTCCCGCGCTCCAGCCGCCGCGGGCCAACCGACCCCGCCGCTGCGCATCGGGAGAAGAGCGCGCCGGGTAGGAAGTGTCGCGGGCCTTCCTCCCGCGCCCGGGAACCTGGCGAGACAGACGCCCGCGGCGGAATGGCGACTGGCCAGAGCCAGCCTCGGCTCCCACCGCTCGGTGACCGAATGCCCAGTGGCTGCCCCCTGCGGCTGTCCCGCCTACCTACACCCACTCCCAGACCAGGCGGCCCTGAGTCACCGACTGGAGATGCTCGAACCCCAACCTGGGCCCGCGCCGCGGAGCTGCAGTTCCGGGCTGCGCTCTGAACTGCGCTCTGGCGCGGGGTTCAAGGTGCGTTCCACGAGACCTTGGGAAGCGACGGCTGGGCAGGGAAGAGAGTCCTGAGTTTGCACTGGAATCCTCCGCAACCTAGGATTCCGAGCTGCCCCAGAGCCCGCCCCAAGGAGGGATTGGAAGCTGGTGCACTTGACATTCCGGGACAGCGAAGAGGAAGCGACGCTGCCTCACACCCGAAGCAAGGAGAAAGGGGGATACAACCACCCCACATCTTTCACTGGCCTGGGGCTCCCAGATTTCTTGACGTTTCCCTCCACTCCGCCTCATTGTCCCCTGGACAACCCTGAGATATCATCACCATTATTTCATCAGAAAGAAGGGAGGCTAGAGAGGCTGGACGATTCTCCTGAGGCCACAGGCTAATTAGTGGGCAGAGCCCAGTCTAAAAGCCATCCCTCCGTCTGACACTTTTTGACAAAGTGCAAAACGTGGTGGTGGTAAGAGCTGAGAACACAAACATCCTTGAGATTCCGCCCCAGCCCTGGAGGCATTGAGAATCAGGTGTGAACTACTCCCACTCCAGGCAGAAGGCAAGGTGGGCTAGATTAGTTTTAGGTGAAATAACAACAAAGTAAAGATCACAGAGAAAAAAATAATTCATGAGATGTGGTCTTTGGGAAGATATTTCAGAGAAGGTGGATAAATCCTTAAGAGGCAGGGACGGGGGGAGGGAAGGGAGGGTGGGGAGTGCATGAATAGCCCAAGTGAAGGTCCAGCTGGTGGAAGTACTTGATGTGTTCAAGGGAGAGAGCTGCCAGGCATCCCTGGGGGTCCAGGATGCTGGGAAGGATTTGAGAGTTGAGGTTGGCCAGGCTGGGTGAGTCTGGACTTAGGAGGTCCTTGAATGCCAAGGCCAGAGTTGGCAGGAAGTTTGCTTCCTGCTAGTGCTGCCGGACACCTCGGCTCCTCTGAAGACTCAGACAGGGTCAACCCTCTAAATGAGTCGCCTGGGCAATCAGGCAAACTGAGGTCACAGTATCATGCTCTCCCTCAACTACCCTGTCAGCACAGAAGTGAAATAAGGTGGTATTTCTCCATTTCTCCAGCACTTGGGACTGAACCGCACACACAATAGATGCTCAATACATTTCTGTTGAAGTGAGGTAAAGAAAACTAGTTGACTTTTTGCTACAGAAAACCCAGGGTCATCACTGCAACTATGATATCCTCACTCAGCAGACTAAACATGAGGACCCTTAGACAAGTCCAAAATTGGCCCAACCAGGAATGTGACCCTAAAAAGAAGAGAATGCACAAAAAAGGGTCTCACAATGGGTCTACAAAAGTAGCAGGGCGTTTGAGGCATGAGCTGTGTGGCAGTCACAAACAATAAGGGCAAGGGTGTGGAGATGCCAGCACTGGAGCCGCAGACCAGCCTTGCCTCTCCCAGGTTTCTCCTGCCTGGGAGTTTACTGAGACTGCACTAGGGGCCATGGCTCGTTGGCATGGATGGAGAAAACCGCTGTCAAGCCACCGCCTGCTTTCCACAGGAATCATGGGGCAGCCCAGTGGTCATGTCATCTGTGCAACACCAGGGAAGACCTTGCTCCTTCAGTGTCAGGCTCCACAGCACCTCCCATTTTCACATAGGCTCTCGGGAGATCAAAGTCAGCCAGGTGAAAGGCGGCAATAGCCCTATTGCCATAGGCTGTTCCCTTCAGCCCAGACTGGTCTATGCATATCTAGTTGTCTTTGGTCTTAAAAGAGCCAGGTGAAAGGATGTGGGATCCGAAGACATCACATCACCTCCTGGTGAGAGGCTCCAAACTCACACCCCGGTGTGGGGGATGAAGCTGGACTGTGCCAAACTGAAATCAGGCTGGTAGGTTTCTGGCGACTCCAGAAGGAAGGAGGGAGGAGCTAGAGTTTGGCAGGGTTTCTACAAGTCTCACCACTTACTCACCAGGGCTCAGTGGTGAGGATGCTACACATCTGCACCAAATTGTCAATCCCTGGTAGCTCTGTCCCTAAGAGAAGGACTCCTTCTACCCTCCCTGCCTCCACCACCAGGAAAATCCCACAGGAGTGTAGCCTTTGGAGAAAGTGTTAGACTTCACAACCAGCCCTCCCTTAGATGGGCACTTTCCTGGGGTTGGGGGTGGGGTAAGAGGGCAGATACTTACCATGCTCATCTGACTGACAAAAACTTGATGTAGACAGAAGTTGAGTGATGCCTCAAGCCACAAGCACTCTGGAAGAGCTGTGGACCAGGAGCTGCCACCTTGGCTACAGCCTATGGTCTTTCTTCCAGATTCTAATCCCAGATGAGCACAGAACTAAGCCTGGCCCTCCCTGAGACAGGCATCTATGATTAGGGATGACAGTGAGTGTGGTTTCCTCTCTGGTCCTAGGAATGGATTCCAGCAGAACCATGGAATCAAAGCAACACCTAAGAGACTTCCTGTTTCCTCCCATTGCTTGAACTTTGAAGACAACAAAAGTAATCATAATAGCTACAGTTTACTCAGCCCTCCAGTTGCCAGCCACTGTGCCAGCATTTCACATAATGCTGTCTCTAAAGCTCCCACAACTCTGAGCTAAGGACTGTCATCCCAACTGCAGATGAGGAAACATTGAGGCTACCCCACTTGCCTGGAGTCCTACATCAAGTAAGTAGGAAGCTGGGCTGAGTCCCATGCCACCTTCAATGACTGTGTCCGGCACTGATGCAGGGCTTCTGAGGCTGCTGGGCAGTCCTCGGGTGCTCAGAAGTTCTGTATGAGGGACCTTGCTTCCCCCTAGGGCCTCTGTTTTCTCCTCTGTATAAGGAGGGATATGAAGCAATGTGCTCCGGGGTCCCTCTAACTATGCCATTTTGGACTTCTAGTTCCTTTGGCATTTTCTCCCTTTAAGCATTTGTCTTAGGCACAGTTCGCCTTCTCTTCAGAGCTGCCAAAGCCAGCACACAGGTAAAGTGCCATGTGCCCCTGAGGCTCCCAGGGGCCCCAGGGAGCTCTCTGCCCCAGTGCAGTTGGTGTGGGGATTTGGAGGGGAGCAGATAACAGAGAGGAGAACGGGAATGGCTCAGTGTAAAGCCCTGGGTCTGGAGTTGGACAACCTGAATTCCAGTACTGATTCTGTCACATATTAGGAGATTGGTTTGGGCAAATTCTTATCCTCGGTTTCCTCAAATGTAAAATGAGGTGTTGACAGCCTTTAACTTGCAGCATTGTTGGGAAAGCTAGAATGAAATAATGGAGGTGAAGTCCAGTGCCTGGTCACCACCCCAGCCTCCTGGAAGCCACTCCCACAGGCACTGCCGGCCTGCTAGGGGTGAGAGAGGACTTCTGGAGGGCCTGCCCAGGGTAACGCACAGGGGACTGCTCACCATTGCTGCCAAGAACAGACCCCAGATGAGCCTCTCCAGCCACACCCAAGGTCCAACAAGAATAGATTGTCCTGCCCCACAGGTGGGTGGCTGCCTCTTCCAAAGTCTCTGCTGAGCAGGCTGGAAGCAAGGCAGGGGACAGGCACAGAGACAGGCCCTGGCCTCTCTATGCCCATTACCCTTGTCACCCTGGGCCAGCTCAGAAGCCTTTTGCCCTAGCTGCAGCTGCAGCAAGGGCCCAGAAGGTAGGTGAAGTGACCTGATTGGACTCCTGCCCCACCCATGTCTGCTCTAAGCAGGAAAGAAGGCAGGGATGGTGAAGAAAATGTATGCTACCACGTAACAGGCACTGTGCCAGTACACGACCCATCAAGGAAGGCTCGACCATCCCCATTTCACAAATGAAGAGCCCGACGCCTGCAGGGCACATGCACCCACTGCCAGCTGACCGCACTTTAAGGCTCCAACTGTCTTTAAGGAAAAGATATTTGTAAGGTGAGTTTCTAGAAACCATTATAGATGGAGGAGAGTTCTTGGCTCTTTGAAAGGAACTTGCAGTTGTCTTATCAATCCTTCTCCTCCTGTTTGATAACCTGGACTTTTTATTTATTAGTTTCTGCCACTGGAGTGTTAGCTCTGTGAGGGCAGGGGTTCTTTTATGTTTTGCTCATCACTGTTTCCCAGTGCTCAGAACAGCGCTTTAGTAGTGGCAGAGGATAATACATGCTCGTTAGGTATTTGTTGAAGGAAGGAAGGGAGAAGAGAGAAAGAGGGAGGGAGGAAGAAAGGCAGGGTAGCTCTGTGAAACATGCACTTCTCTCTTAAGTCAAGCACTTGAGAGATGCACTCAGGATGAGAGCCCAGAGCAAGGGAGCTACTCACGTAGGGTCAGGGTGGGCCAGTGTAGTGAGTCTCCTAACAGTGCTTCCTTCAGAGCAGCGACCCGCTTCCCAAATCACGGAGCCAGAGCCAAACCCCACTGCCCCAGGATGAGGGGGTAAGAAAATTCTTTGTGGTCCCATCAGAAGTCAGAGAAGGAATGACCCCAATTCTGGTGGACAACTGCAGGAACCACAAATGTTATTGCCGATCATGAAATAACCCAGGTGTTACATTTGGTAATAGTAGGATTGCAGAGGCTGCGGACTAATTAGAAATGTGTCAAGTGCCTTTTATTAACAGCAAGGAATTCATACAAAGGAGAAATGCATGAGTAAAGTCAACTGGTCAGCAGAATTGGTCCCAGAGGTAGAGCCCTTTCCAAGGCCCCTCTAACCTTCCCATGTCCACCACCTTCTCCTATGCTCCTGCCCCTTCTCCACAGCCTCTGCGGAGCTGAGTGCCGGAGGTCCTCAGAGCAGAGCAGATGGCCCGCCAAGACGCCAGGCCAGTGAGTGCCTACACATGCCTGTCTCCTTGAATGGGAGCTCCTGTGAGCGCGGCCTGGCAGCCTTCTTTTGTGTATTGTGAGTTTCCAGCACAGCGTTGGGCATCTTGGCAGTGCTCACCAAATATCTGTGCAGAGTAGATGAGTGAATGAGTATCAAGGGCGGCAAGCTGCTGCTACTCCCCATTCTGTCCCATGAAAATGCCATCAAGCCCACTCAGACTGTAAAGCCAGAGCCTGTGTGCCCATTGGGGTGGTATTTCTAGTCCCTTCCTTAGCTTTCCTTCTTGAATACCTACCTAGAATACCTACTGCCAGGAACTTCTAGGTAGTGAGGATACAAAAATTAACAAAACCTGGACCCAGCCTGGAGGAGTCTAGTGGCTGAGGATGGGGAAATATGCATAAATAATCACAAGAAGATATAACAGAGCTCTACAGAAGCACAGAGGGGGCATCTTCACAAGTCAGAAGTCATTTGAGAGCTGAGCCTTAAACTATAAGCAGGTGGGTGAGACTCTGGAAAGAGGGACAAAGAGGGCTGAGATGTGTAAGCGTATGAGAGCACGGAAATGGTGAGTGGTTTAGTGGGGGGGGGGTTGGGCTGGTGATGGTGATGAGGTTACAGGGGTAGGCACAGACCAGTTAACAGATGTCTTCTATGCCTCTGGAAGAAATTTGGACTTACTCTGCTAAGCCAAGAATTTTAAAACAGAGAGTGACAATGATCAGTTTTAAATTTTAGTAAGGAGGCTGATGACCAGTGGCAGGGGACCACAATGATATTGCAGTCGTCCAAGTGAGCAATGCTGAGGCCTGGGCTAAGGCAGCAACACTGAAACAGGAGAGAAGGAGGGGAGGATTTGGTGATCAACTGGAGGTGGATGTGAGGGGATTTGAGAATAATGTAACTTTCTTGCTCAGGAGACAAGTGCTTTGGTGTAAAGTAACCATTAACTAAAATGGTGAATACAGGAGGAAGAGGAGGCATGTTCGGCTGAATTTGAGTTCTCTGTGGTCAGGAAGGCATCCATAAAGCCAGGTCTGGAGCTCGGAAGCAGAGTGAATGGGGCCAGTCAACTAGAGATGAGAAAACTAGAAACACAAGGGGGGCAAATATGTTGCTGGGTGGCTGCCCATGTACCCAGCACCTAGGCCTGGGGGAAAGGATCCTGGACGCCTGTGTGAAGATGGAGATACAGAGAGTGGACACTTTTTTTCTGCCTCTGTCAGATGCCTTGACAAAATCATCCGGCCCAGGCTCTTCAAGTATGCTCATTTCTTTTTATTTATTTTTTAATTTACTTAATATTTTCTTTTTTTATTCTTTCTTTTGGTGACGTCACTGTACTAAGTATGCTCATTTCTTTATCAAGGTCCTCACCATCTGGTACACATCAGGATGGACCTCTAGACCTAGGGCTTGAGCAAAATTTGGCTCAATATCAAAGAGGCCACGCAAGAAGACCACCGAGAATTTGAGTTGAAGAGACCCACAGTCCTGGTCTGGCATTTCCTTCAGTCTAATGGTGCCTATAATTGAAACCTCCATTTTCCCTGTGAAAGTGGGAAGTGGAAATTAAAGCAATGTTCCCAGGATTGGTATATATTTTGAAGCTCTCAGCAAGGCTGAAAATATCCATCGATATATTTTGAAGTGTAATTTCTACTCCCTTACCAGTCAAAATAATTGAACGGGAAGAAAAAGCTGTTAATGCAGGAGGCGTATAACATCAGATCCACATTGCCTGGAAATTTACCATTTCAAAGAAATTAAGGGTTTTTAGCAGCCAGTGTTTACAGTCATACATGTCCCCTCTCACTGAAGCCATCCTCTAAAAGCTCATCAATCTGGCCTGGACACTGAAATTGTTCACAGTGTCTGGAGCTGACGCCAAAACAGGGAGAATTTAAAAAAATCATCCTGCCATTTTATCAGCATATGTACCTTGGGGAATTTCCTCCTGGTAGGTGGTAGGAAACAGCTGGGGCTGTCTCCCAGTGCTCATGGAGCCAGTGGTGGCAGAGCTCTGTGGTGGCATGGCCAGGCACATCTTCCTCTCTTCCCTTGGCAGCCATCCCTCATGTCACACAGGTTGTCCTTAGGTTAGTCTGACATTTCTCCCTCCTGCCCAGCAAGAAAATACCAGTGACAGTAGGCGGGAGGGTTGCATGTTCTTCAGCAGAGGGGTGACACTGTGCTGCCTTTCACCACCTCTGCCTGGCCCCTGAATCTCAGCCTGGAGCCCAGCAGGACAGATAGACAAAAGACTTTGCTGGCTGTCATTGTCTGTCTTCTGCCAATGCCTGCGTGTGGGTGGGTGTGTGCGTGTGCTCTATTTTCAGATGGAATTTGACTTCATGTTTTTCCTGGGATTACTGATTTATTCTCCCATATTTGTGTCCACTGGAGGAAATTTCTAGGTCTTTGTCTAATTGTTTGTTTTTTCTTCCATCTCTGAATAACATATCTTAAAAAGGCCACTACCTAAAGATGGAGCAGTCAGTTATGTTCTTGGGGAACTGGGATGATTGGGAGATAGGAAGCCTGGGTTTTAGTCCCAGATATGCCATCAGCCAGCATGGCGACCCTGGAAAAGTCATTTATCTGGGCCTCTTTCTCATATTTAAAATGAGGGGTTTGGTACAAAATACTTGGAAGGTGCTTTCCAGTGCTAGCTTTTTAGGATTCTATTTGCTTATTTTAATGTTTTAAACCATCCCCTGCCCCAGCAAGAATTATTGGCAAAAAACTGGGATACAATCTTCTTTACTATCATTTGATCCCCACACACATACACATCCAAGCAACTTAAAATAGTCCACTTGATCAAGAATCTGAAAACTTCCAGATTACAGCAGACCTAAAGAGAAATTGGAAGAATGTACAAGAAATGGGCACATCCGGGGATGTCTCTGGGAGGAGAACATGAGGAAAACAGGGGTGGGAGACTTTCATTGTATATCCTTTTGTACTTTTTGAATTTTTTGCCACATGCATTTATTACTTCTTCTTCTTCTTTCTTTTTTTTTTTTTTTGAGACAAGAGTCTCACTTTGTTGCCCAGGCTAGAGTGAGTGCTGTGGCGTCAGCCTAGCTCACAGCAACCTCAAACTCCTGGGCTCAAGCAATCCTCCTGCCTCAGCCTCCCGAGTAGCTGGGACTACAGGCATGCGCCACCATGCCCGGCTGATTTTTTCTCTATATATATATTTGTTGGCCAATTAATTTCTCTCTATTTATAGTGGAGACAGGGTCTCGCTCTTGGTCAGGCTGGTTTTGAACTCCTGACCTCGAGCAATCCTCCTGCCTCGGCCTCCCAGAGTGCAAGGATTACAGGCGTGAGCCAACTTGCCCGGCCCATTTATTAAAAAAGTTCTCCTTTCTCTGTCTTCTATCACAAGCCTCTCTGCACCTCAGGGCCCAGCAGAAGAGGGGCCCAGTGATGAGGTGGGGTTAGACATTGGCAACTGCCTTCAAACAAGGCCCTGCCTAAGGCGAACCCGTCCCCAGCTGGGCTGGCTAACAGCCCTGCTACCCTGGCTGCCCCATGGGCCTGGAGGGGTTCTGTGGGAGCATGCCCGTTGCTGGCTATGCTTGTCACTGGCACTCTTCCAGGCTGTCAAGCTGTACAGGGACTCCATTCAAGGTGCTCCAGTAAGACTCTGGCTCTCACAGCTCCAGCAATCAGATAGGCAAAGACATCTAAGAATTCTGCAAAGGGAGAAGTGCATCTAACCTTAAATTCACCAGACCATGCCATTCCCTTTCAAAGACAGAATGCCTCTTTATGTTTGTTTTCTGCTGTTAATATAACATGAGGATAGGAACATAAGAGAAAAAAGAATAATAGGGTTAAAAATGAGTGGGGGAAAAGGGTCTTCAAAGAGCCTTTTCTCCTGGCCTCAGCCCACACTGCTTGCTTCTACATGGCAGAGCTGGGCTGCAGCATCTCTGGCAGGGTCCCACGCCCCAGTGCCAGCTCCTCATCAGCTGTCCCTCATGACATCTAGCCTCCACTTGGCCTTCCCCTTCTGCCTCTTTTCCTGATTATAATCTTGGACAGGTACTGGCCCATCACTTCTCTGCCCTGTACTTCCCTTTGCCTCTCCTCTGAGTTCTCTGATTCCCCCTCCTTTGGCTTACCGATGGCACTGCCACACTGCCAAGAAACAGCTACCACTGCTGAGGTCCATTTCCTGGTCTGGAGCTGTCACCTGCCCCACAACTGAGATTGCTCAAGATAGGTTCCCACCCTCTGTACACATTCCTCGTACCCTACTTCTTTCTAGGACAAACACAGTCAATCTCTCACTAGTAAATAAAAAATATTCATTTCCTTCCTCTTACTGGGAAGACAGAGATCAAAATTAAAGTATTCTTAAAATGGCTCTTAGGTCTTGAAAGTGGTCTCTGGATAGAGTGGGAACAAGCCAGTTTGATCCCTGAAGTCCTAAGGCTTTCTCCGCTAGAAGGACCCTTCTGAACATGGCTCCACGTGCTTCCCACACTCAATCTGGCTGTGCTGGAGCACTGACTACTGACCTCAGATTGTTGGCACTAGGGTCCAACACTGCGATCAGCAGCCTCTCCTGCCTCCCCAACCACACATATGTTCGGGTGGGGCTAGGCTGTCCCCTAGGGGGTCATGGAAGGTGAGGGCACGAGGACAATTGAAAAGGCCTGATAGAGTCCGACAAGCAGCAGCAGATGGAGATGTGCATTTGGGAGAGTGGACACAGATTCCAAGAGATGAAAAGATACAGAGCATGAGGAAAAACAGCTTCAGGGAAAGAAAAGGCAGAGAGTGAAAAGTGTAATAAACATTAAACCCAGAAAGGCCTGAAGAGAACCATCCAGAGACTAGCAAGAAGACAACTAACCTTAGTGGAGTTAGGACAGAGGGGGGTAGGAGAGCAGAGGGTCAGGGTGGTCAGTACTCAGGGGGCTGGAGGTAAGAAAAATGGCGCAACATAAATCTCTTGGGAAGGGTCACTCACCTTCTAAGCTGTTGGGCTTATTGGCTGCAGCAAGCAGAATCTATTTAAAACACACCAGGCATTTTGCCTCCTTCTGTTCCTCTGCCCAGAAAAGGCTGCAGCCCAAGGCTGAGGGAACCATTCCAGCATTAGGACCCTGCATGGACCACATGGCTGAGACCATGAAGGTCCCTGCCCCATCCTGACGGACCTCCACTTCTCTCTCCCCCAAGCCTCCAGGCCACTAAACTCCTGGCATATTGAACGCAGTCCCAAAGACTGCTTGTGGTAGCCACTTCCACTGGGAACGACTTGATGACTTCCTCCATCCTGTCTTCAAGCTTGTCAGAAAGCAGATGCTGCTCCAATGTGACAGCTGCTCTAAGGGAGCCCCCTGACTGGTGGGAACATGCTTCATGACTGAGAAGCCTCGGGTGGTTAGACCACAGCAAGACTAAGAAGCAAGTGTGAAGGGCAGCAAGGATAAAATGGCCCTAGGGAAACCAGATGGGACTTGAATTCAAAAACACCAGGAGCCTATCTCCTTTTCCTGGACTATGTATCTTTGGAAAGCACTAATCTGGAGAAATGACTTCTTATCCACCCGCCCCAGAGAAAGTACACTATGAGGTAGGAAAGCTGTCTATGCAAGTTCTGTTTCCTCTTCCACTGAGAGCACTGGGGATGAGAGGTCCTTCCTTCCCTGGCTCTTGAGCCCATGAGATGTGTAAAATATTGTTTAATAAGGCCGAATATAAGCCCCTACTCTGCATGAGATTTATATTTCTGAAAAACTTAGTGTACCAGAGAAGTTGGCTTTTCAAAATAAATTTGAGATCAATCCTAAATTTAAAGCAAAGGATGGCTTGTGAAGTGAATAATCATCCCTGTTCATGTTTGTAAATTTGGAATTTTGAATGTCTGATGTGGACAGCAGTGCAGAGAGCTGTGTCTAGAGATTCACCTACAATTTGCCTTTAGGTTGCAATTATGTGTTACTTTAAAACAAACAAAAGACTTAAGCAGATGGTTGTATTGCAGGAGGTACTGCTAAAGTAATCTGAATTTTTAAAAAACAATTTTAATGGAAAATTTCAAATATATATAAAAAAGTAGACAGCCTAATAAACCCAGCTTCAGCAATTATCGACTCATGGCCAATCCTGTAAGAAAGATGAACTTTTCAGCCAGTTGACAGATAGAGAGGGTAAATTTTACAGTACAAGACAAACTGTAGCAGTCCAGCTGAAGCTCTGGGATCCAAAGAGTTTCTGCATAAATGCCCTAGACTGGAACCTACAGTATGAGGAGAAGGGGTGGAGAAACATATTCTTGATTAACAACCAAAGAAGAAACCTTGGACTTAAAAAACAAAACCACATACACATACAATCTCTCTGAAGGATACACAATGCACAAGTAATAATAATACTAGTTACCTTCAAGGAGGGAAACGTCTGTGGAGACTTCCCTTTCATTATATGCTTTTTAAAAAAGTTGTCCTATGTGCACGTTACCATTTTTTTATTTTATTTGAGACACGGTCTAGCTCTGTCTCTGAGGCTGGAGTGCAATGGCATCATGATAGCTCACTGTCACCTTGAACTTCGAACTCTTGGG